GGGTGCTGTCAGTAGGAGGGGGGCAGGCAGGGATGGGGTGCTGTCAGTAGGAGGGGGGCAGGGATGGGATGGGGTGCTGTCAGTAGGAGGGGGGCAGGGATGGGGTGCAGTTAGAACAAGCACGGTAATTCAGTCAGCCATAGGTTGCAAGGTGTAATGGGCTGCAGTACGATGGCCGATCACACTTCGCACGTCTAGCAAACGCCATACTGGAGATATCACGCATGCGCCAACATCTTGCACATAAAATGGCGGATAACACTCCAGCGACCACAAAATGGCGGCAACAATAACAATCCACCGAATCCGAGCTCCCACAGTAAAGCAGCGGCTGGCGGAGTACTAGGTCCACGCGAGTTAACTCCAAGAGCGCCAGTCGCTGTTATCCACAGAAAGCTTCGCCGTATCCCGCGGATTCTCCGGTCTCCTCCCGGTACGCTGTGAAGGCTGACTCTCCGCTATTCCAGAAGCTTCCATCGCACCTGCCCGCGATACTGCGCATGCGCACCCAATGCGGCCAGCGGGGGAGGGGTCACTGATCCGCGCATGCGCAGTTACTAAAGGCGGCTTACCCTCTCGCATCACGCTCCGACCTGGAGTTACGTAGGACACGCAGGACATCGAGTGCGTAAAGCCAATCACTGAATGCGTTCCACTCAGTGTGGCTCTGAGATGGTGTGTGGCTGCTGCAGCACTTTTCATGGAACAGCCAACACCAGAGGATTTATCAAAGATTCCTGAAAAGTTTCCAGAAGACCTTTATAGTAAATTGGGCCAGAAAAAATAAATAAAAATTAGATGAAAAGGGTCCACAATACAGTGATAAGTGTCCTTCGTGTTCAGTGACTAAACACTTGGGTTATGTAGCGAATAGCTATATAATGAAAAATGTAGGCTAAAAGAAAGCGGGGACTCGAAGAGCTAGAGAATGTTTCCACATACTGACTTTTTACTTAAATTTGAAAATTCGGTCTGTCAATTCAATACAATTGTGTTTTTAAGCAAACACCACCTAAATATTTTCATTCAAGAAGTTAAAAAATGTAGCAAATAGATATCAGAATGCCAAGTTACAATAACCAATTTGGGAGAAAAAAGTTATCCAGTTCTGCTGTCCATAGCTTGGCTCCCTGAAGATAGCCCATTATACAAGGAGACGAAATTTGCTGGCGCTATATAAATAATATAATAGCTAATCAATGGATTCCCCTATATAGAAAACGGTATATAGGCCCACCAGCGGTCTGGTTTACTAAGATCAAGGAGCGGAAGGTCCTTGAATTGTGGCATTCTACACAAGGGGAAGGGGGGTGGGGGGGCATTACAGGCACAGCGCAATTACTGGGGTCTGTGTCTGCCTACCTTCTCTAATGAATTTCATAACTAGTATCTTGGTGTTATGTGATAAAGGTGAAGCCCAAGCTTGCCAGGGGCAGTTCAGTTCTTATTTATTTTTTAATTTAAATTTCTTTATTTTTGTTGTGCAATGAAAATACATGCAAGCTTGCAATGCCCTGACAGCAAGAGTAAGTACATAAAAACACCTAATGAGGCAGTTTTATGGTATTACGAAAGTTCACAAGAATTTTATAGTATAAGAAAATCTGTCAAAGAATTCTAAACTCTAGGTATTTACACCATTGGCAAGGTGATCAAGTATCACATGTAAGGCTTGGTTATCAGCCTACTCCTATGCATGCCAGTCCTAATGGGTATTTTGATAGTCCACCATGGTGATCAGTATCTATGTACCCAGTCAGGGCCCACCTCCAGCTTCAGGCTTGATCAAAGGTCCTCCCACCAGCACGACCCAAGTGCTCTTAAAAAAACAAAACAAAAAAAAACTCATACCCCTCAACAATGAAACCTGTCGAAAGAAGTTGGAGAACCGTCTCGGTTTCTGATAGTCTGTTTTCTACCTAGGCAGCTGGTGTGGTGGGTTCAAGCCCAAAGTGGCCCTTGCATTGTGGAGTTTTGCTTCACCTGACCCCTGTTATACAATCTCAAAGGCTGATGAGTTGATTCAGCTAGTCGCTCTTTCAACAGAGCCCACAAGCCTGTTGAAATCAAGCTGTTTTCTGCTTTCTACGTTTTGCACCTCTGTAGAAGGCCCATCCACCATCTTAAAAAGCATATCATTCAGGCAAGCTGTGGAAGCCATCTTTCGCAACAGGATAAACCAGGGCTCGACAAATCCCAGGTCGCCATGGCGACCAGGAAACTTGTCCTGGCGCATGGGATTTGTGAGCCTGTTCAGCCCCCGAGGTCACATTCTGCCTGAGAGCAAAGGCAGGCAGTCGGATCACTGAGGGCTGAGGCAAGCTGCTGACAGTGACGCAGACGGCTCATTAAGAGATAAGGGAGGGAGGCCGGCTCATGTATTGCTGAGGGAGGGAGGGGGGCGACCGGCATGGAGCGGCTGACAGAATGAGTGGAGCGGCCGGCTCATGTATTGCTGAGGGAGAGGGGCGGCCAGGTAATGGAGAGCAGAGGGGGCGGACAGATGACTTAGTCCCACGGTGAGAGAGCTGTAATCTCCCTACTCACCTCCCTCACACGGTTGTAATGATGTCGGGAGCCAGATTATGACGTCACTCCGGCCCTCGGCTCACTAAACAGGGCGCGAGAGGGTGATGACTGCAGCTCCACTGGACCGATCCACTCCAGCTCTCCAGAAGTAAGGAGGCTGGGTGGATTTAAATAAAGTAATTACTTGTGAGTGTGTCTGCATGTCTGTGAGTGTGTGTGTGTCTAACTGTGTCTCCTCTCCAATCACATGGGAAAGGTGTTTTTACTCACCTTCTTTCTCCCACGCTGTGCTGATGACACTGCGCCTGGCCCCACCTCCATGGCTGAGATTATCAAACTTGACGATCTCAGCCAATCCAATGATTCCCCGTAGGATATCATTGGAAGACTATTTTGCATGCACGGGAAAATGCACCAATTTAACTTCTCGTAGAGGTGCATTGAATCAACGCATCTCCATAGGGAACTGACCCAGGAAGCACCTCTAGAGGTAGTCTGAGTGACGGTCGCTACAGGTGTTATTCGGCAGCAATGTAAACACTGCCTTTTGTGTGAAAAGTCAGTGTATACATTGAAAAGTGTTCAGGGATAGGATTAAGACTTCAGAACAACTGCATTAAGCTGTAGTGGTTCTGGTGACTATAGTGTTCCTTTAAGAATTGTATTTTTAGTGTTTATTTCTCTGGCTCCTAATTTTTTTAGCTGGCTCCTAGATTCCAAGCAAATTTGTCAAGCCATGGGATAAACCAGTGAGACAGTCCACTCAAGATAAGCCCCACCGGTCTAGGTGGGGGTGTGTATATGTAACAGAATTTAGACTCCATATCTGGAATTTTGCAGGTTCTGTTTGTTTTATTTATGTACAGTTTAGTGAATTAAATCTGAAATCAGACATTCACCTGATGGATACTGCTATCTCTGGAAACACAAAGTAGAATAAAAGTCAGGCAATACCCAGTGTTTTTGCATTATGTAGCTTATATTATGCTATAATGAGCCAATATGTAATGGATGCTTGGCTGCTGTGAATATGAACAGTGGTCAACTCAACATTCACCACCTCAAAACAAAATCTGAACACGTTACCCTCTCCCATCTGGATCAAAACTATACAAGGATTCTAAAAATCTAGACACCAACATCACTGGATGCAATACCCAAATAAATGTAGATGCCACAATGCAACTATTTCATATGAAAAATCTTCCATGTGAAATTTAAGGACATGTGGTTATGACTATATAATATAGAATGCACACTATGACAACTTCAATCAGTCAATATAATCTGACTTTATTATGTACAAAAAGTACTGTAGTGAAAAATAAGACAAAAAATATGACTACTTGAATCACAGGAGAAGGGTTTATCCCAGAATACCTAGGCTAGCAGACAAATGAATTTTACATATCTCCTGTACTAGTAGTAAATGTATGGTGGGTTATAAAAGTAAACATTTTTCTTTGTGCAAAACTCTCCATGAAAAAAAAGGTTAGAAGAATCTGGATACAGGGAAAATAAATAAATAATATATATATTAAAAAAACACCTTAAAGCCATCTGTATAGACTGTTTTTGTAACAGGAAAGAACAAAATATCTGGCAATAAAAGCTGGGCTTGGCAAGCTGAGAGATCTGCAGCTAGTTCCTTGTACAATTGCAGTCTTGGTAGAACATTGAGAGAGCTAAAGAACATTGGGATACCCCTCAGGGAATATGCTTTAACATAGATACTCTAGCCTAGGATAAAATCCACCTGTCCTAGATCTTCTGGCTGACGTACTGTGGCCTGTATGAGGAGGATGCAAAAATTTCACTTGGCTTTTGGTTTAACCCAATACTGGCTGATACTATATTTTTCCTTTACAAAACCCTGCCAGTCCCACAACAAATTCTGAATTTGGTCTGTTAAAGTCAAGGACATGCCAGTTTAAGAGTATGTTGGTGCTTTATAAATAATCATCCGGTCATCTCAGACTACTACGATATAGATTCCAAGAATGCCATGACAATTTAGTTCCCGTTATAACTTGTAGTTTGTTAAATTTAGAGGATCTTGTTTGAGATAAGGAACAAACATGTGCCTGTATGGTATTTTTTTGATCTGAGATGAATTCTCAACACTGGAGCAGCTACATCACTAAAATGTTGTGCCACATTTGCAAAACTTCAGATTTTCAATCAAAAGAGAAGGTTAAAAGTAGTAAAGAGTTTATAATCTGTATTGAATCCTGAAAGTACCATAACACTCTAAAAAACATTTATGCAACATACATGGGCCCTCGAGTATATAAAATTTGAAATTCAATTGTAAACTATCAAGAATTTCCATTTGAGCTGTGTTATGTAATCATGCATAGTGCGCTCCAGCAGCAGTAGGTACAACCAGCAGCTGTGTTATGCCCCAGGACCCAGGCGACTTAATAAATGCCCTTGAACATGATCCCACAGAGAGTTCAGATACCCAGTGGAGCAGCTGCTTTCAGCTATATTTAGAGAACATGGGAGGGATGTGTATAGGACGTAGACACTACAGTGCAGGCATAATAATTAAGTGGATTAAAACTATGGTTGTGTAAAAAGTGCATTCTGTGGGATTTACTAATTATACTGTCTAAACGCACACAAAGCAAAGGCTTTATTGTGTCTGAAGGAAATGAACAAACCACCGCTATTTTGGAAGAGCTAGAGTAACAAACCAGCTTCTACGTTTCCTCACCATATGGTTTACTAGGAATAATATAAATAAAGATTCTCTTACAACAGAAGAGAAGATAACTGACATAGATGCAGCATAAAAATGCTCACATTTTGTTATACTTTAGTCTTTACAAACCCCAGTGAAATGCTAAGAGATATATATACATACACTAAAGCTAAATTTTACACTTTGACAGAGACCGCATAAATTGTGCCATATCATCATCTAAGCTTATAGTACAGCGTATAATCAACCATACGGCTTCCTGTTATGTACCAATAACTACATATACGCAGAATTCAGACATAAGCCAAGAATATTTTGTTTCCAGAAAATATATAAAATTTAATTTTGTTAGAGTGCAGCCATTAGTCCAGTGATGCAGACAGAAAACATGAAAATAATATATCTTTTAATTCTTTTTTCTTAACTACCAATTGACAGATTAAAAGAGATTTATTAGAGCCGATACCAGTTATCAGTCGCGTTTCAGGCCAATTGGCCATAACCAGTACCAACATTCTGTTAATTTACAATTCTGAAAAAAAAAAAACAAATAAGGAAAAGAAAATATTTCTACATAAATATGCCTTTTACTGAACATTTTTGTAAATCTCTCTTTTATTTATATTGGTAAATGCACAAAATATACATGCCGGTCAGATTATAAAGGTTTTCAAGAATATTTGTGAGAGTGTAGTGGATTACTGGAATTCTCTTCCAGTTGGTCTCGCCAGAAGCCGCACTACAAGGTGTAATAAATGCTGCCACCAGGCTGATCATTCTCACAAATGTCGCTCTTCCCATGCCTCGTCCCTCTGTCGATCCTTTCACTCAGTGGCGTACACATGACCCATGGGGCCCCGGTGTGGAAATTGATCCGTGGGCCTCCCCCCCCACGCTTACTCGGCGCGGGTTGGGGCCGCAACACATGGCGGCGGGCACCTGGTCGCAGGGGTTGCAGGGCTGCGACCCCGCAACCGAAGTATGCACACACACTTAAAGGACCACTACAGACACCCAGATCACATCAGCTCAATGAAGTGGTCTGGGTGCCAGGTCCCTCTAGTTTTAACCCTGCAGCTGAAAACATAGCCGTTTCAGAGAAACGGCTATGTTTCACTGAGGGTTAATCCAGCCTCTGGTGGCTGTCTCATTGACAGCCGCTAGAGGAGCTTCCGCGATTCTCACTGTGAAAATCACAGTGAGAAGACACTCAACATCCATAGGAAAGCATTGAGTAATGCTTTCCTATGGGCGGTTTAAATGCGCGCGCGCCTCTTGCCGCGCAAGTGCATTCGGAGCTGAGAGGCGGAGCGATCCCCAGCGCCAAGGGTGTCCGACGCTGGAGAAAGGTAAATGCTAAAGACACACACATTCTCACGAACAGACGCATACACACTAGCTAACAGACATCAAACACACTCAGTAACAGACACACACAGTAACACACTCACTAGCAGACACACACAAACACTAACACACACACACTAGCACACAAACACACACGCTAACACACAAACACACTAAAAAAATTTTTTTTAAATTTAATCCCCCCAGCCTCCTTACCTTTTGGAGTGCTGGGGGGTTTCCCTGGGGTCCAGTGGTGCTGCTGGGCTGGCCGGCGCACGAGGGAGCACTCTCCCCTGTGTGCTTCCTCTTCAGCTCCCTCGCGCGCCGCACTGATGCCGGAGCCGGAAGATGACGTCATCTTCCCGTGCCGGCATCCCTACGCGTTGGCGAGGGAGCTGAACAGGAAGCACACAGGGGAGAGTGCTCCCTCACGCGCCGGCCACCCAGACAGCCCGCCCGCCGGGGTCAGCAGGGCCAGCCTCAGGGGGGCCCTGAGGTGGCCGGCTCATGGGCCCCCCAGGAGAAGTGGCTGGCCCTGTGGGTACATACCAGGTCGCAGGGGCGACCGGGCCCCCTGGTGGGCCGGGCCCGGTCGCAGCCGCGACCCTGGTATGTACGCCACTGCTTTCACTGGCTTCCTGTATCCTATAAGTGTCAATTCAAAATACCGATAAAGCTATAGTCCCGGTTATATTTCTTCACTGATTTGTAGATATGCCCCTTCGTGGTCTCTCCACTCTGCCTGTGACCTTCTCTTGTCCACTGCTTGCACCCCTACTGCAAATTCGTACTTGCAGGACTTTTCACAGGTGGCTCCTTTCCTTTGGAACAGCCTGCCTACCACCATCAGGCTCTCCCCCTAATCTTCAATCATTTAAGAAGTCCCTAAAAAAAAGCATATCTTTTCAGAAATGCTTATGTGACGAAAGTAACCTCATCACTGGTTCTTGGAGGGGCCGGCTGGCCAGCCTCTTGCCTCAGGACTATGGGCCCTGCAATATACCTTGCCCAATGTACTTTAAAAGGCTCTGTTCATGTGAAGTATGTACTTTTGTACTCCAGACAGAGAGAGAGACCGACCGTTCGCACTAATTCTTTGGAACCATTTTGGGCATGGGACCATGTGCACGGTCGGTTAAAAATAAGACTTCCAGGGAATTCTTGAACCCCTTAACTGATCCGGGTGATATTTGGCTATCAGGGGATGTAACATTGGGGGTATGTTGTGTTTTGGGGTTTTGTAAAATGTGTTTTTTTCTGCCTCGAGATATTTGGGTTAATACAGTATTTGACTCTCACAGGCAGAGGGGTGGGATTGTATGTTTGTTATGGGAGTGTCGTACATTTCATTACTGTTCTAATTGGTTTGTAAGCTTTGTGTCCCCGTCCCCAACAAGGTCCATGTGGGTGTACACCTTGCATAAAAGGCCAGCTGTGGCTTCCATTAAACAGAATACGTTACCCCTTCATGAAGTCTTGGCTCATGTTTGGGGATTGCTATATCACAATACGCCCCTGAGTATAATCACTAGCTCTTCTAAGAGCTGCTCCTGCTACGTTCTCTGAACTAGGAGATGCCTACCCATTGGAAGCTGGATCCTGGTCTTGGGTCCAGGGAGGGTGGAGGACAGCGAGACCCCAACCAAGCTGCGGCGATTTGTGGGGTTTACGGTGGTTATGGTGTTATGGTGCAGTGCCAATGGTACTCGCAAGTACTAGGAAGCAGCGATTGACGGAGGTACCCGGTCAGGGTGCAAGGCGGTCAGTCACAGCTTATGACCTCCCAGAGGTAACTTGTACATCACATATCGGTCTCTTGCTCTCTTCTTAAGAGCCACACTCCACTCCTGCTACTTTTCCACCTAGTTTTCCGTCTCCCTTGCTGCCCTAGTGTAGTTTTAGACCCCCACCTTCTCTAGGCTGTAAGCTTCTTTGAGAAAGGTCCTCACATACCTAGTTTTTCTGTAACATTTTGCAATTGTCTCATTTATTATTACATTTCTCCATTTATAATATTATAAAGGGGTAGGGGTCTGTGGCAAATCCACTCTGTTGCCTAATTGCTTTATATAAATAAGATTATATTGGTATAATTTATACAGATTATTACCGAATACCAGCCAATTTTACTGGCCCAACTGCTAATCTGTTGCTCCCGAATACATATACACACACACACACACACAAACACGCATACAAGGGTCCTCATCAACCTCTTGTTCCTGTAACATTATGTAATTGTTACATTTTTATATTTCCCCTTTATAGTTTTGTAAAAAAGCGTTAGAATAAGTTGGCGCTAGATACATGCCAAAAATAAAATCACATCAGTTTCTATCCCTTTATTAGCTCCTTATCTGAACAGGAATAAGATTTAACTCTGTTACCCTGCCTGTCATGATTAAAGACCTTCTCTGGAACCCCAGAATATTTCAAGTAAACTTTGTAGAATGTGCACATTGATCCCAATAAGTTCGAGATATGTCATGCCAGGCTCCGGTGTCACAAAGTCACTTGTGTAAATGTGGCCACCAAGGCTGGTAGCACTGATGCTTTAAGGGACAATTTAGGCATCGAAAAAACAGCTCAATTAAGAAGTATTGATGTATAGACCATGCCCCTGCATTCTCACTGCTCAATTCTATGCCATTTAGGAGTTTTGATTTTGTCCATGCAGCCCTAGCCACACTGCCCCTTGCTGCGACTAGCACGCATTAAGACAAATGGTTTCATTTTCAACCAGATATTAACTTACTTTAGAGTTTTTTTTGTTTAATACCCCTGTTCTATAAATCGAACGTTAATTACACACAGGAGACTCCTGCAGGGTCTAGGAAGCTATTAACAGTTAGGTTAGGTTATAATTTAGGAAGTGTTTAGAAGGGAGTGTCACTAGTGGTGTACACACAGAGTTATTTCAAGCAGCACTGTCACCATCTGGGGACTTTGCAAAGATCCCCAACAGTGACATCAGCACTAGTGGTCCAGTGGCAAGGTAAAGGTGAGATTTACGTACCTGAACCAGTCCCTTGCAGGCATGACCATCTTCGACCGGCAAGTCCTCTTCAGCCAACATCACTTTTGCACTCTCGGGCATGCGTAAAAGAGCATTGAAGTCTCTAGAGGATCATACTTTACCGCTTAAGAAGTGCATTAATTTTCAGGACAAGCAGACAGTAAAGTAAAATAAAATAAATTCAAATTATCCCTCCTCCTTACCCTATAAAATCCAGAAACTTCATTTCAACCTCAGTAAATAGCAAGAAACCGTTGAGCACCATTCAAATGCAAAACTATAAAATTAGCTAAATAACTGGTCATATAGTAGCAGGTCATATAGTAGAGTGGGAATATAGCAAGATCCCCCCCCCCAAAAAATAATAAAAAAAAAAGTGGGTAATTTACGCACAAAAGCAGCTTCTGCACAAGAGAAGATATCTAGCCTATAATGCTTGAAGAATGTGCTAAATGAAGACCGCTGCGTTTCAGATGTCTTCTGGTGTGGCACCAAACCTTGCCATTTCCCCTGTGGAATGAGCTTTAACTTGAAACAGCAATGCAAAACTGCTAACCTAATTTTATGGTATCAGGGAGTCATCTAGCAATAGAAGGTTTAGAGGCTTCATTTCTAAGCAATTTACCTTGACAGTTAATAGGTGTTTCCAATGATCTAAGATCCAGAAGGTGCAACTTCTTCTCTTGAGCAGATAATGCAGAACTGCAAAAAAATAGTGCAACACAATAGGTTGATTAAAATCGATCTTTTTGATAAAACCCTAGGCAGAAAAAATGGTTTCAGTTGAACAACTTTGTCCTAATGGAAAAATAGTGAATACTTCTGATGAACATAGAGCCTTTTAACAAAAGTAATTGTCACCAGAACCACCATCTTGAGAGGGAGAAGTTAACTGAAACTTCCCCCAAGGGTTCAAAAAAATAAATAAATAAAAAACCCTAAACAAGCCACAAAACACAATGCCTTAAGAACCATCAATAAATCCCTAGCAGGGAACAGATTTCCAAGGAGGCCCTTCTAAGAAGAAGAGACTTGAAGAATATTCTAGTCAGCATGTTGGAGGCAAAATCCTGAACCAGAAAATGGCTACGGGCCTGTACCTTTCAGGTCGAAACACCAAGACCAGACAATCTTAATGTTATCAAACGGTTCACTATAAAGACAGTCATCATCTCTACACCAATGCAGAAACTTATTCTAAATCCTTAGGTAGATTTTAGAAGTACTGTAGATCAAACAAACAATTTTTATGGAATTCCGTGTTCAGAAGACCTTGCAGCAGCCAAGCTGTCAATTGGAACAACGAAAGTGCCTTTTGGAAGTGGTTTGTTTTCCAGCAGTGGGGTTGACACCGGAAGCTCCCAGAAGGGTAAAGCCATCTGTTTCAATTCCGAAAACCAGTTTCTGTTTGGCCAATACGGAATGATAGTTATTACCAATGCCTTGTCCGTCCTGATTTTCTTAAGGACTCTGGGAATAGATGCCATTGGAGGAAACTGGTAAGTCAACTTGAAATCACATGGAATTAACATACCGCCCAGGAACAGAGGACCAGCTTGTCTGTATAAGGAGGTGAAGATCAGAACTTTCCTGTTCTTTCATCTGGACAGATCCACTTCTGCAAACCAATTTTTCTTAAGAGGCTTGCAAAAGTGTTCAGGTATATAGACTATTCTGCCTGAGACCACTGTGCCCAGCTGCTTTCATCTGCAATAACATTGTCCATGCCCTTTATATGAAGTGCTGATAGAACTTACAATTTTAAATGTGCAAATGCCACAGAGAAGGTGAAGTGCTCTGATTTTTGTTCCACCTTGTCTGTTCCGATACAGTCATGAGGTTGTCTGACTGGAAACCGACAGCCTTCCTTGCAACCTAAGGCTTGAACTCCTGAAGAGCTTAGAACACCACTTTCAGCGCTCTGTAATTTGCTAACTCGCTTGATTCTTTTGGAGACCAAAATGACTTGACAAAATGGTGTGTACCCCATCCGAATTTTGAAGCATTGGTTGTAATGATCTATTCCCGTAGATAGAAAGGATAACCTAAGGATAGGTACTTTGTTTCCATCATTTCAACTTCTTCTGGACTTGTGTTGATAGGTTGATCTCTAAATCTTCACCCTCTTTTGGACCAGTGTTTGAGAATCTCCCATTGAAGAGGTCTTAAGGCTGCTTTTACCCATTTGACAGCTGGGTTTCAAGAAGTGAGGATACCAAGTACGCTCATAGCTTTACGGATTGATCAAGTTGGTGCTTGAAGGAGCCAGATTTATCTTATCTTTCTTTTGAGGAAGCAGATGAAGAGACAGGGTCTATTAATAAGCCCAGGAACTGAATAACCGATGTTATCCGAAGTTGTGATTTTTCTCTGTTGATAATCCATGATTCTTTAGCAGATGCATAGCAGTTGGAATATTTTCTTCCAGACAATGTTTTGACTTTAGTTCTAAAGAGTAAAATCCAGCCCTAAAAATACACCAGAATACCACTCCAAGAATACCACTCAGCATAAGTGAATGCAGCTTTACTTGCTCCATAACAGTTTACAACGGAGCAGAGTCTTTCAGTTCACCACCCGGGGATTGATCAGACATTTGCAGCAGCCCGTGTGCCTCACCAGACTTGTAACCATGCAAATGCAGCCTGCTTGTCCATCCTGGTGACAGACTAAAATCCAGTGGCTTCAACCTCAGTACTTTCTTGTCCTGCTTGTACCAAGAAGAAGTGCACACCACACTGTAGTACTGCCACTATAGGATAGGAAAATATGAAATACTATTTTTCAGAGGTAGGACAGTTCTACTTTAACTCTATATAGCAAAGAATTAAGCAGTGAGATTGCAGGAGCATGATCTATTCACCAAAACTCCATTATTAAGTTGTTTTGGTGCCTATAGAGTCCCTTTAAGGGTAACAAGTTTAAAAAGGTGCCAATTCTGTTTTTTTTTTTCCCTTCTTATGATCTGTGATAACTGCCTGTCACGCTACACTGCCAACTTTTCATTGCTGGGCATTTCCCGGTGTTACGATTGCCCCCGGTCTAGCAGGAGGGTTGATCGCTTGGATGTCCTGGTTCCCGCTGCAGAGAGTCGAACGGAGGTCTTTCGGTAGTAAACTGCAAATGTAGAATATCCCCAAGCACGATATAAGCATCAATATCCCGGATCCCTACAACATGAGTCGAGGCTGCAAGTTGAGGGTCAAAACGAACTGGCTTTACTGGCACATAGCATGGCAATTTATGTGATTCCTCAGGTCCAAGGACAGCCCCCTGTGGACCTGATGGAATACAGGTACAGTACAGACACATATCCAATCACAATACAGTGTATCCTTTGAATTAGTACCCGCCCAGCTTGGAGATAATGAGGCCAACGGTTATACAATCTAATTATCTCCAAGCGCACCAAAGACCACGTTTTATTATGTCCCAGAAAACTGCATAAAAATCCATAACTTTTACATTAATAAAGACAAACCCCGCATTCTACCATTCATCTGAAGGCTCACGTTCGTGTAAATAAAACATGCGAATGGCGCTCTAATCCCACGAACAGAATGTACTGTTTCTGCCGTATGAAGTCCGTTCGGCATTTTGGGATTATTAGTCTTTGTTGGCGGCCATGTTTTCTGCTGTTTTAGCGAGCAGCGGGACTTCGTGTCTAACTCGTGGAACTAAACTCGGTATCAGTTCATGCGAAGTCCCGCTGTCTGGCTGGTAGTGGGCTCGTTCGGTAAGGGAATGAGGACCACCTGGGAGCAGGGTACTTGACCTGCGGTTAACCGCAAAAACCACAAGTTAACGAGCGTCACACGACCCGCTGTAGGGGGTTGTCGTTCGGTTGATAGTTTGGTATTTTCCCTTCGGTACTTTGGGTGCGAACGTCGATGCCCCCAGGCCTCCCAATTACGTTGTGGTTAACCGCAAACCGCAGGCACCTGGGTGGTTAATGGCTGCCACACTCCGGGGCCGGGTGGTCGACCGTTCGGTAGTTTGTGGGGTGACGGGGTTAAGTGGCGGCACACGCCAGTTGGTGTGGGGTCCCCCGTTCGTACCACGAATGGAGCCTTCATAAGGGTTCGCATAATCCATTCGTGTGGTTTTCTGCTTAACTTATGCAGTGGCAAACAGTATCACTCGGTGAGTTAAAACAGCAACATAGTGATTTCCAGTCTTTTGTAACAATGCTCCCTCTTTGTGGAACACTCTGGCAGACACTGTCTGACCCCTTTTCGGGGCAGACTAAGGCTGTCCAGACTCGTGGGGTTAGGCTGGGCTGAGATCTGTTTGCCGGGATAATCCGTCGGCGTTGCCGTTCTGCTTCCCGGGTCGGTAGGTGATTGTGAAATTAAAGGGCTGCAGGGATAAGCTCCAGCGTAACAATCTGCCATTGTCCCCAGCGACCCGGTTGAGCCACACCAGCGGGTTATGGTCTGTAACCAGAGTGAACTCTTGTCCATACAAATAGGGGGTTAACTTCTTTAGTGCCCACACCAGAGCCAAACACTCCTTTTCTACCGCTGCATAGCTGACTTCGCGTG